CAGCGTTCGACCTGTGATAATTAGCATAACACGCTAGTGAAAAATGGTGATATGTATAACATCAGTGACTGTTCCAGATAATGGAACAATTGGTCCTAAGCCTTGTCTCGAAAAACACTCACAAAATATTCGGCTAGGGCTATGTTTCACTGTGGTGGAAATACAAGAAATATTTCATTTTTCATGAGGTTGCCATACTCGACTACAACGGCTTTGTTAGAATTGTGAAAAGGTAGATTCATCACTTCATATGACCTTCAACCAATCGTCCTTTGTCTAATTTTAGTATTCCAAACATTATGTAAAACGTGCCTCAACATTTGCTGGTATGATTAAAGGCTTTCGTCGTGCAAAATAATTGTTTAACCCAGCTGCACAAAGACTTTGACTAATTGTACAAGTTGAAACATCTTGGCCAATCTTTTTTTGCTAAAGTTGTTGAACTTCTGCAGTGCATAAGTAACAATTTTTCTTTATCGTTAGTGATAATTCGCTTAAGCTGGCTTCGTTTTGAATCTTTAATTAAGGGTGGTCAACCAAAACGAGACTTCAAATTAACAGTTCCAGTGTCATCCATTCTTTTTAAAGTGTCTAAAACTGTTGATTTTCCATAACTGATAGTTGCGACAATAGTTCGGTAACTATCGCAGCATTGATGGCAAAAAATTATACCACTACATTGTTCTGTTGTTAATTCTTTGGACATTTTCGTTGCTTTTGGAAGATAAAATTTATTTTGATTATAAATCAGAATAAATAATCAAACACGACTTTATTTGGTTTATTTAAGTAAACAAGGTCTGGAACATTACATGAACGCAGTATTATACAGTCACATGATGTAATTGGTATAAAATACCCCGAAAGATAACTTTTGGAGACTTTTGGCGGGATATGTATAATGGCAATTATTCTACTTGTCAATATGAGCAGAAGTGAAAAATTTTGGTAAGGAATTATAGGATAAGTAAATAAATAATAATATATTGATAAAAAGGTAACTATATAATAGAAATAATTTTATAATCTATTCTAAACTAGATTTTGGGATAAATGGATAATTATTAAAAATGTTTAATTGATGATTCTTAATAAAAATTTTAGGAATTTTTAGATATATCAAGTATTTTTATATTTTTTAGTTATAAAACATTATTAAAGAAGAGTCTGTAATATATTAATGGTAAACCAGTAGTTTAAAGATAGGGAAGAAATAAGAATTTATTTTTTTCTTTATTTTTATTAATTTTTTTTTAATTTTTTTTTATTTTTATCAGAATTTTCAATTTTTTTAATTTTTTATTTTTATTTCTTTTTTATTAAGGGTGAGGTTTCATTTTGTGATATTTTATTTTTTTTATTATTTTATTTTATTATTTTTTTTTTGTATAAATAAATAATATTAATTTATGTTAATAAAATTTTCTTTTGTTTTCTAAAGAGATTTCAGTTTTGTATTAAATAAAACTACATATATTCTTTTATTTTTAATTATAGTAAATAATAAAAACTTTTAAAAATAAATTTATATTTATTGTTATAAATTAGTTTATCTAAGATTAATTCCAATTTTTGCATTACCAAAATTACTTTAAGATCACTTTAACTTTCATCTTAAAGAAGTTATTCTATAAAATGATATTATAAATTAACTTTAATTATATTATAGTAAAATTATGTTTATATTTTTCTTTTTTAATAATCATCTATTATACTGAATAAAGATGGATACTATAATTAAGAAGTTGCAACTTAAAGTGTTGCAACTTAAGTTGCAACTAGTTAAAATTTTTAAAAATAATTATGAAACCATCTTTAATACTGAATAATTTATTGTATTATTCTGAATAATTCATTATAATAATAACAATTTTTTTTATAATAAAGGTCTGATCAACTCAGATGCTAACTTTATTATATTGAATATAACTGTATTAATTAGCTATTTAAAATTAATTTAAATTAGTTAAAAATTAAAACTAATAAATCTTTTATAAAAAAATATTTTGTATAATTTATTTTATTTAAATTTTTTTTTTTTTAAAAAAAAATTAAAACATTAGCTATCAATTAAATTTTTTTAAATATATTTTTAAAAAAAATAAGAAAAAAATTTTAAAATATTTATTTCTAAAAGAAATTAAAAAAAAAGTTAAAATACCACTTAAAAAATAACTTATTTAAATAAATTTCTAAAATAATAATCTTTTAAAAAGTATTTTTATATTTAACTTGAGAGTATTTCTAAAATAAAAATATAAATAAAAATATAATTATTTACTTTAGATCATAGTTTTAAAATATTTTAAAAAAATATATATTTTTATTAAATTTATAGTTTTAATATAAATAATTATAAATTATTATCATTAAAATAACTTATTATTATTCTAAATAATCAATATATTTTATTATTTAAAAAAATAATATATTATCATTATAAAGAATAATTTTGTTAAAAATTAACTTTTTATTATAAAAAAAATTGATATAAATATTTAACTAATATCTGTATTTAAAATAATTTATATTTTCAGTTTTAAATAATTTAAATAATATTATATTATATTAATTTTTTTAATATCTAATAATTCAAATTAAATAATATTTTAATAAATAATAAATAAATATTATATTTATAATATATTAAAATTTAAGCTAATTTGAATTATTAGTTATTAAAATAATTAATATAAATATGAAATATTTTAATATATTATATTCTTTTAATATATAAAGATGCTTATTGTAAAAGTTAGAATTCAGCTAATCATATAATTTTTGAGAAATCAGATTTATATCATATAAACAATTAAAATTATATTAAAAAAAAATAAAAATGATTTAATAAACTTAAAATAAAATTTTACCAATAATTATTTTAAAATAATAACTATCTTTTAATACATTTATTTTTATTTATAATACTAAACAGATAAATAAATTAACTTAATAAAATTTGTAATAAAAATTTAATTATTCAATATTTTTTTTTTTTATTAATATATTATGAATAAAAATATATTTTCTAAAAGATTATATTGAAAATTATATAATAATTTCAAAATTTCAAAATTTAATTTTTAGCTTAATTTTAGCTTTTGCTATATGTATTCTTATATATTATTTATATCAGATATATATCAAAAATTTCAATAATTAGTAATTTAAATTAACTCAAATTTTGATATATTATAAATATAATAATATATTATTTATTAAAATTTTATTTAATTTAAAACATTAGATATTAAAAAATTAATGTAATATTATTATTTAAATTTTAACTAATATTTGTATTTAAAATAATTATATTTTAATATTTACATTAATATTTCAATATCTAATGATTTAAATTATCTAAAATTTGAATATATTATAGTTTAAAATTATATTTAAGATATATTAAAATTTGGTTTAATTATAATTAGTAAATTAAAAGAAATATAATATTAAAAATAGCATTCAGATAACTTTGATGACCCCTATATAGATTATTATTCAAAAAATATAATTTATATTATTTTAAAAGAATAATTTTATATAATTCTAGAAAAATAAATTATCATTTTTTAAAAGAATAATTTTTTTTATTATTTTCAAAATAAAATTTTATAAATTTACATTCTTATAGAATAATTTTATTATTTCTTTAAATAAATTTATCATTCTTTTATAATATTTATTATTGTTTTTTTTAGAATAGTTATATTTTTTTTTTAAGATAATTGTTATTAATCTTTTAAATAATTATTTTTATTATTTAGATATTTATCAATTTTTTAGAATAATTATTATTATTCTTTTATAATAATTTTATATTATTTATTTTGAAATAATTTTTAGATAATTTATATATAATTAATTAAAATAATTAGTAATTAGATAATAAGTTAAGTTATATAAATTTAGCAAAAAAAAAAAGGTTAACATTTAAAAACATATATAATAAACCTTTTTTAGCTGATAATATGAGGCCTTTGCAATAGAAAGGTAGAAAACTGCTGGAAAAAAATCAATTTTACTTTTATATACCAAATATGATTTTTAGACTGAAATATGTTCAAATTTAGCATTAAATCATTTTTTATTTTTCTGGCAGTTTCCTTTCTTTCTACTGCAAAGGTCTTATATATTATATAAGTTTTTATTTTTTAGATTTTTTTTATTTATAATTACAGCTATTTTTATAATTCCTAAACCACTAATAATTTTTAGTTATTGTTAGTCACATTCAATCATAATATTTTATAATAATTTATTATAAAATATTTTCAGTTACATTTAATCATATTCAATCTCAATTTATTAATAGTTCATAAATTATAAAAATAGCTGTAATTAAATTATAAATATATATAATTATTACTTTTTATTTTTTTATACTTTTTATATATAGTAAATATTTAATATTTTATATCAAATAATCAAATTATTTATACACATATCAAATTTTATTTATTTAAAAATTAATAATTATAAATAAAATAATATTTTTAATATTAACTAAACATTGATCAATAAAATAATTAATTTAAGTTAGTAAAACAAAATATTTCCATTTTTATCAGACTGCCAATCCCAAAAAGCCAACCCCAAGGCCTTTCTTGAATTAAAATTATGATGAAAATATAACTTGCTCGTTAGTAAATTACGTTGAGACACGGTATCAATTATGAAGATAACTCCTAATGACAATTATTCTTTACAAGAAAATAAAATGTTATTATATTACAATCTTTCGTTTATATAGATTTGTAACATATATTGTGATGGTGAATCATTACATGCTAATATTCTATTAGGTCTAAAAGAAATATTTTTATAAATATTAAAATGTGGTGATAGGCGGAAACCAATACCAATATTCATAAAATAATAAATTATTTACTAAAAAAAAAAAAAGTAAAGCACGCGTTTCTGGTTTTATTTTCCTACTTGAAGAAAATATTAATATCAATTAACTTTATAATCGATTACTTTTAGATAAAAACTTACCTTTATCCAGTAGCCTTTTCGAATATACCAAGTTGTAAACCTTCTTTGTCTCTCCTTCTTTTTTCATTTCTTGCTTTATCCTTTAATTGTATACTATTTCTATTTTTTAAAGGGCCTCCAGGTGGACCATAAAATAACAATATGGTCTCCCAATTAGTCCCGTGTTCGTTCATTCCTTTTTCTAATGCATCTAATTCTTCTTGTGTCCATTTTATCCTTTGTCGTGGCATTTTTTTGATGTTTTAAAAGGTTGAATGTTGAAATGTTAAATTTGAAAAAAAAGTAAAAAGAGTATCAATTTATCATAAAAACCGTAGAACTGTGAAAAAGATTTTATACTTCTAAAATTTAAAAATCGAACTTAAATTTTGAAAATATTTATATTTCAAAAACTAAATTTACGAATTATCTCATTTAATAATTCAAATGCGTAAAATTTATTTTAAGTAACAATGAAAAAAATGCAAATAAATAATTGCTAGCGAAAAAAGAAAAAGAATGCAGATTATGATATATTGCCAAATAATATTAATCATTAAACCCCTTTTTAAAGCTTTTCAGTTAAACCTCCACCTTTTAATTCAATTGCTACTTTTTTCTCTTCAATTTCTTTATTTACTTTATTTCCTTTCTTTCCTGATTCATTGGTTTCTTTATCCAAAATTTTCTTATCATCTTTGTCTTTTAACTCATCCTCCTTTTCCTTGCCGGGGTCACTTTCGTTCTCTTTTAATGATTCTTTATCAACAGCTTTTATTTCGTTTAAATTGGTTTTTTCATCAAAGTCTTTTATCATTTGATCGACTTCAGAAATTTCCGATTCAATTTTAATTTTATCTTCAAATTCTTTAACTAATTGATCAACTTCTTGGGCTTTAGTTCTTGGTTCAACTTCAATCTTCTTTTCAACTCTAGTGGCGGTAGTGATAATTGATGCAGGGATAGTACTATGTTGATTTCTAAGTGATGCACGGCCTTCTTTATATAGTTGTAGTAACGCATCCTACAAAAGGAACATTTGAAAATTAAAATTTTAATTAATAAATAAAAAATATATAATATTCTTACTTTCCATCCACATAATTCTGCCAATTTAGTAACACCATCGTCACAAGTTCCTTTATAAAAAGCATCTCTATGATATTTTTGATATTTCCCATCAAAATCAAATCCCATATCTTGTAATCCAAACTAAAAAAATTAATTACAACTTAATATTGGAGGTTCGGTTAAAAATTTAAATATAACTTATACATATGATATAATTAAAGAAATTTTACTTACAACTCCAACTTTTTCAAGATTAATTAATAAACGAGGAGTCTTTGATCCAACGGCATCAAGCAAACTAGCAAAAGGTTGAACTTGCAGAGAAGTTCCAATAACAATAAGCATATCACATTTAGTAAAATCCTATATAATCAAGATAATTGGATTAATCTTTGATATAACCAAGACTAAACACAATAATTTTTAACTTGAAATGTATGCTTACATTAATTCTTTGAAAAAAATTGTCAGGTAAAGATTCACCAAAAAAAGTGATACAAGGTTTAACAATACCAACTTTACATGAATCACACATAGGTATGTCGCCTCTATAAACCATATATTTCATCCAATTAGCATCAGCTAACTTATTACATTCTAAACATTTTGATTTAGCAAAAGACCCATGAGCTTCTACGATTAAATCATCTGGTAATCCTGCAAGTCTTTCTAATGTATCAATATTTTGTGTGAAACAACGTCGTAAAACTTTTTTATGATGTAAAAGTGTTAAGAAATAATGTGTTATGGTAGGCTAAAAAAAGAAATAAGAGAGTAAGGTTGTTTGTTATATTTTTATAAGAAAATCTTTTTAGGAAAAATAAATACCAAGAATTTTCCGGGATACAATTCTCTTGCCAACGCGAAAAATGGTTCTGGGTTTTCCTATTAATCATATTATATTTATAAATACTCTCTAATTATAATTCAAAAGAGTTTGAAAACTAAATATTTACTTTGAAAAAGCTGATATCAAAGATAGCTTCTGGATATGGTAAATCATATTTTTGAAGATTATCATAAAGACCAGTACCGGGTGAACGAAAGTCTGGTATACCAGCAGCTGTAGAAATACCAGCACCGGCCATTACAACAATTTGTCTCACTGAAATATTTATTTAAAACAAATTGGTTTAATCTATTATCCAATCAAACTTCAAATTTGCCAGTTAATTAGTAAAACAGATAAAACAAAATACCTCTTTCAGTTTTAATAAGATGAGCAACAGTCTCAATAGTAGGAGGATCTAATATTTTAGTTTCATCCTTAGATAATAACTTTGAATGTTGGTGATTATTAAATAATAAATGAGTTATATTTCGAGTCAAAAAGGATATAACGAACCTTGGTTTTACCACCACTCTTAGATTTCCCACTAACAGAAGTGCTTGGAACTGGATCGACTGGTTGATTCTTTGACATAGTAATGAAAGATCTGTATCATTTTCATATAATAACGTTTTGGATTTTAATCAAGTAATAATATTTTTCATTCTGACAAGCGATCTATTCTTTTTATTTATAAATTACTTACCCTAAAATAATGAGTTCTTGTGTTCGGAGCATAATGGAATACATTCATTATATCACGAGGTGAAAATCAATTGTCGATCATTTTTTTTTATATGTGTAACATATCTAATATTTCATTATCTATTAATCTTAATAATCTATTATTAAATATTAATCATCTTTTTTTTATAGGATTTTACATTAAGACAATACCCTTATTATAGAATTCTAAATATAATCACATTTATTATTTCATTCTGCAAAACATTTGATGAAAGCATGTCTACATATTATTAATATTATGCTTTTTTTTTTATTAAAGTTAAATTATTGATTACAATAATTTTGATATACTGTATATTAGCTTTTATAGCTTTTTTTTATACTTAAATTAAGTAATATTTGGATCATTTTTATTATAATCTTTAACTTTATATAAATCATTATAGTATTTATTTACTAGTGAATATTATCAAAATATAAATATATTAAAGATATGAGAGACAGTTAGTAGAAAAGGAAGAAATCCAAAATTTTTGTTAATTTTAATTTTTTAATTATTAAACTAATTTTGTGCACATGACCGAGATCAGTCAAGTGATCCAATAATATTTTGACTAAAATTTGAATTTTCCTCTTTTCTACTGATTGTCTCCCATATAGTAATCACATGCTAATTTTATAAGATCAGTATGGTTAATAGTAATACAAACTTTCTGTGTAATATAAACTTCTGTAATACTTAATAGAGAAAAATGAAATATATATTGTTAAAACTATGAACCTAAAGAATTTTTTAACCTTAAAAAATTATATTATTTAAAAAAAACCTTTGTATGAAGTTAAGAATATGCAATTTTTTTACAAATGTATAAAAAGAGTTTTTACTGAATTTTTATTACTGATATTGACTCATTAAAAAAACATTTTATATAACAAATAATATATAAAATTTTGTATAAAACTATTGTGAAAATTTTATTAAAATATATATTTAAAATTTTTTATTTAATGTATTATTTTTTATGTATCTAATAATACTACAAATCTGAAATAACCTTTTCTTTCACTCTATTATAAGTCCTATTATAAAAATACTTAATGATAAGGTTTGTGTATTTAGCAAAGAGTAGTAAAGTAATACTTTTTGTTCTATATAATTATGTATTACAAAATCTGCAACTATAGTCAGACCCCTATACAGTCAGTCACACTCTATATACAGTCAAACCTTGATATAGCGAACCCTTGATATAGCGAATTTTTAAATCAAATATATTAAAATTACCTT